GCAGGCTATGATCCGACAGGGCCGTGCAGCTCGAGGCCCCCATGGCAAGCGGCAGGCGATTCGTGCTCGCCTCTTCCTTGAAGCTCATGAGCGAACGCTGCCACCCGCTGTCAGTGGAGCCGAGGCCTTTGGGAGTCACGGCCGTTGACAAGTAGCTAGGCTTCGCAGAGGGAGACAGCCCTTTGGCGCCATGGTTCTCGCAGCTCCTGGGCGCTGAGCTAGCCGTGCGCAGGCGAGCTGGCGCAGCGGCTAAGGGAAGCTACGGCGTGAGTGTTGGAGATCGGCTCTTTCTGGGTCTGGACGCATAGCGCACAAACTCATCAAGCCGATGGTAGTCGAACCGCAGCCCGCTGTCTTTCCAGAGGATTTCGAGACGCTGCCGCAGGTTGGCTCGCTGGCTGTGACGGCCGCGCTGCAGGAGTGATTGCCGCTCTGGGTGAAAGATGCCAGGGCTCTGGGGCCCCCAGCGGCGCCCTGGCAGGTGGAGCATACGCTGGAGCCGATCAGTGTGAAGCAAGTTCGGGCGGCGACGCTCTACTCTGGCCGACGCAAAGGGCTTGGCTGGGACAACTTCCACCCGCGGATCTTGAACGAGCTCTCGGGCGCGATGGTCTCGCTCTTCGCGGCCATACTTGGCGAGTTCGAGAGGACGGCGAGCGTTCCTGAGCTCTGGGCCACCATGGTGGTGTTCATCCCAAAGGCGCCCCCTGATGCAGGGCGCAGGCCGATTGGGCTATTGGCCCCATGACCCCGAGTGTGGTCCAGAATTCGGCAGCCTCCTGTCCGCGCGTGGGAGGTCCGCGTGGACGCCAGCTTCTTCTGGGGCAGGGATGGTGACACCGCCGCGGATCGCGCGGCCTACGTCCACAACCTGCTGGTGCTCCACGTGAAGAGGCACAACTTCGTCAGTGGCACGTTGTACTACGATGCGCGGAAGCTCTACGAGAACATTTCTCACGCTGCCATACGCGCAGCTGGCAGGCACGACGGCTTCGACGAGCAGCTGCTGAAGTACCTGTGCGCGGTGTACCGAGGACCACGGAGGGCCCGCTGGCTTGGGGCTACCTCTTGGCAAGTGCTGCCGAATGGCACGGTCATCGCTGGCTGCAGCTGCGCGACTGGCATCGTGAAGCTCATGACTCTGTGCGTTCGCAGAACTGTGGCCATTGAGACGCCAGCGTGTCGGCCGCTGAACCTTGTGGACGACTTGAAGATCCACGCGGTTGGCACGCTGCGTACGGTGGCGCCGCAGCTCGTCAGGGCTGCGGTGACCGTCTCGACCGAGATGGAGAAGCTGGGCCTGCCGCTCAACTTGGCCAAGACGTGCTTCCTCTGCTCGTACCCAGAGCTGCTGGAGGCCTTGCTGGACGATGGGGACTGGCCAGTCGACGAGAGCTTTTTGGCCAGCACCCATCGTGACTTGGGCGGCGACGCTTCTGATGGCAGAGCGCGCGGCGTGCCTGTGCAGAATCAGCGCCTCTCAGCTGCGTCGGCCTCGGCGATTCGGCTCCCCAAGATTGGGAGGGGGTGGGGGGCTTCTGGGGTGCGCGGGGCTGGGCCAGTCGCTAAGGCCGCGTGGGGGGCGCACATTAATGGTCTAGGGAACTCGGCCCTTAGGACCCTCAGAGCTGCCTCGGCCAGGTCCTCCGGCACCCTTCAGCCCGGGTCCTCCCTTGGCCTCACCTTTCTCCTCTCTGGGGCCCCGCAGCGAGACCCTTTTGTTTATGTGACGGTGGATGCCGTCCAGACGTGCGTCTCGGTTTGGTGGCGCCGCAGCGTCTCCAACCAGGTGCTCCAGTCGGCTTTCGAAGATGCGCTCCAGACGGCCTGCAAGGCCAAGCCGTGGAGTTCGGCTAAGCAACCCGTGGCGGCTCCCGCGTTCCCGCTTGGTCGCATAGGTTGGCGGTTGGATGCCCCCAATGCAGTTTTGTTTGGCCAAGCGGGTAGAGCGTGGAGCCCAGATGAGTTCGCTGCCTTTTTCTGTCTCCGCGTTCGGGAGGCGTGCGAGGAGGCCACCGTTATCGATGAGCAGGATCGGCAGACTGATTTCGGGCCTGAGTGGAGAGGCCCGATGCGCCTCAAACCTGCGCTCGATCTCCTCTCGAAGCAGAGTTCGCCCGCCTGGTCGGATCACTGCCGTCATTGTTTGCGTAGCCTCATTAAGAATCGGCATTGGTGTCAGCACAGGTTTCACGACGCTTGTCAGGATATTTCTCCCGTGTGCCTGGCCTGGCAGGCCGCCCCTGGGACTATGTTCCACCGTCGCTTCGAATGTGGCTTCATGATGTTTGGAGAAGGGGCGTGATCAGCCCTGACGTTCGCAGGGCGGCGAGTCGAGTCAAGTTGCTCTCGCCCAGGGCCCAGGAGCTCTTTGCCCACTGTGCCCTTCCCGGCACCACCCGTTGGTTCTCCCGCCCCACTGAGCCCCCCGAGGCCACTGCGTATAGGTGCAGTTGGCCTGCCGAGGGGCTGACCTCAGGTGATGGGGGCCACATCTTTATTGATGGCTCGTGCTTCGAGCCAGCACTCCCGAGGGTCAGATCGGCGGGGTGGGGAGTTGTGGTGACGGACGTTTGGGGAAAGGTGGATCGTGCGATTTGGGGGCGCGTGCCCTTTTGTGTTACTCCAGCCCAGGTTACTCGGGATGGCGAGGACTATGCTGTGTTATCGCTGGTGCGCCATGCTGCTGTCTCCCCTGGGGCCTGCCACTACGGGGGCTGTTCGGGCACCTTAGGGCATGTCCAGGACCCGATGGGCGCTGTCAACCCAGATAATGCTCGGTCTCACTTGTGGCAGCACGTGTGCGATAAGTTGGATGGAGTCTCGCGGCGCAAGGTCCCAGCCCATGGCACCAGGCGAGATGTTGATATCGGCAATCTTAGTAGGCTCGAGTACTTAGGGGATCGAGCGGCAGATGAGTTTGCAAAGACAGGAGCCGCTCTTGATAGGATCCCCGACTTTTGTGTAAGTATTCGGCGGAGCAAGAGGCTCGGATTGGTGACTGACAGGAGTTTGATCATGTCAGCCTCGAGTGGATCCGTCACATCTCCCTTGACCTTCCTCTTCTCCCTGAGGGTCCTCCTGCTGCTCCTCCTCCTCCTCCCTCCGGGGACGGGGTCAGAGCTCGGGGGCGAGGAGAGGGGCTCGGATGCGGCCGCTCCTGTCGAGAGGCCAGAGCTTTCGGTCTGGCCCGCTCTGGGACATGCGGCCATTGAGGCGCAGGTTCAAGATGCGGAAGGACGCGATCGAGATTCGATCGCTTTCTGTACGACCTGTGGCTCGGTATGCATTGTAGGATGACGTCGGGGGAAGACAGCTCTCGCGTCGGATTGTGTTGGGCACCGCTCGTCGGGCCGAGGGCGGCAGTTGGTTTGGATTTCGCAGGGCTGCCACCCGTCCAAAAACAGCTTTCGTGTGTCCCGAGCGTCCGCGTTGCCGGAACCCGCTCGAGACTTCTTGGCGTCGAAGATGTCTCTCGACGCCGTTCCGTCGCTCGCGCCGCCGCCGTCCAGAGGCTCCCCGGCTGCCTCTTCTCGGGGGAGGGTGGGGGCGGCGCGGTGGGCGGGCACTGGGGTCGACCTTCATCGAGGCCTGTCTCTTCTTGGGTCCCGATATCGGGAGGAGGCTGAGTCTCTCGGTCTTCGAGCGCGGGAGCTCCGACGGCAGGTTGTGCCGCCCGAGGAGTATACCGGCCCCTTCTAGCTCGTTGGAGTTTGTTTGCCGTTTGATGCATGTTTACTGTGGTGGCACCTTCGCCGCTGCCGAGATCCTCCTCCTCCTCCTCCTCCTCCTCCTCCTCGTTCCGCCTCCTCCCCCTTCATCTCCTCCTCCTCTCCTCCTCCTCCCTCCTCCTCCCCTCCTCCTCCTCCTCCTCCTCCTCCCCTCCCCATCCCAATCGTGGCCCATCCTCATCTCCTCCTCCCTCCTCTCTCTCCTCCTCATCCTCCCTCCTCCTCCTCCTCCTCCTCCTCCCCTCCCACCTCCTCCTCCTCCTCCTCCTCCTCCTTCCTCCTCCGCGCCTCTTCCTCCCCTCCCCTCCCCTCCTCCTCCTCCTCCTCCTCCTCTCCTCTTCTCCTCCTCACCCGTCACTTTCTCCTTCTCCTCCTTCTCCTCCTCCTCCTCCTCCTCCTCCTCGTCCTCCTCGTTCCTCCTCCTCCTCTCGTCTCCTCCCCTCCTCCTCCTCCGCCTCCTCCTCCTCTCTCCTCCTCATCCTCCTCCTCCTCCTTCTTCTCTTCCTCTTCCTCCTCATCCTCCTCCTCCTCCTCTCCTCCTCCTCCTCCTCCTCCTCTCCTCCTCCTCCTCCTCCTCCTGCTCCTCCTGCCCTCCTGCTGATCCTTCTGCTCCTCTCTCCTCGTCGTCGTCGTCGTCCTCCTCCTCCCTCCTCCTCCTCCTCCTCCCTCCTACTCCTCCTCTCCTCTCCTCCTCCTCCTCTCCTCTTCCACCTCCTCCTCCTCCTCTCCTCCTCCTCCTCCTCCTCCTCCTCCTCCTCCTCCTCCTCCTTCTCCTCCTCCCCTCCTCCTCCTCCTCCTCCTCCTCCTCCCCCTCCTCCTCCTCCTCCTCCTCCTCCTCCTCCTCCTCCTCCTCCTCCTCCTCCTCCTCCTCCTTCCGTAGCCATTTTGGCTCAAGGCTATGAACCGTCCCGACGACCGCGAGTCTTTCGGGGCGACCTCAGAGCGCGAGGGAGGTTCCGCTTTGAGGCCACTCTCCATTCCAGTGCGAGGCAGGCGTTCTAGCCTGACGGTGTCTTTCGGCCTTCACGGCGGGATCTGGGCCCCCGCGCCAGTTTTGTCAGAGGCATGCCGAGGATGCGCCCATACACGGTCTGTGCCTCGTGTTCAGGGTGGGTCTTCGACTGGAAGCTTCAGCGATCGGGAGGCTGGTGCGATCGGTGTGGGGGCGTCATTGACTCACCTGCCTGGCGGTCGAGCGGGGACCAGGATACCCGTGGGGAGAGACCGCCGTGGTGGACGTCGAACCGTGCCCGCCTTACCCCAGAGCAGGAGCTCGATAGCCTCATCAAGAAGTTCGAGGAAAAGAAGGGCAGCTACAAGGTCGAGGTTGATCTTCAGGCGCTGCGGGACTTCAAAGGTCGTGTCGTGGATGCGGTCCCGAAGAAGCCGAAGCGGGACTTACCTCAGACGGTTGCCCTCAAGCAGGCGGTCAACCGAAAGGAGCAGGCTCAGCGGGACCTCGACGCGGCGACCACGGCGCTGCTGGCTGCCCAGCAGAAGGCCCAAGAGGCGCAGGCCCTTCAGGACGCGGCGGCCCTCAAGATGGCAGAGGCGGAGGCAGACCACCAGCGCGTCCTTGACGAGTACTATGCGCAGTCGAAGTCGGTGCCTGCACAGGCCGCCCCCCCAGTGCAAGGCTGGAAGGCCCCCGAGGTGGACGAGTCACTCTTCGAGGAGCTGGACAGCTACGATGCCCAGGGCCGCGCCAAGCTCCTCAAATTCAAGGCGGACATGCAGTCATTGGCAGAGTTGGTCAGCAGCGCGTATGCGCAGTACAAAGAGTTCGATGAGTTGGCGAAGCAGGCGAAGGCGGTGCAGCAGGCCCACCTGGAGAAGAGACGCAAGGCGGGCGGTGCTGAGGAGGAAGACGTATTCGCAGTCCCTGGTGCGGTGCAGTCGCAGGAGGTGGACAAGGTTGCGGCCCAGGAGCCGACGGTGGTGGACGCGCCCAAGCAGCAGATCGCTATCGAGCGCGTCAAGGAGCAGTCGAAGGCCCGCCCCCGTCAGGCCCGCGGCGCGGGTACCCCAGCAGCCTCGGCTTCCTCGTGTGCTCCCGCGGCTGCGCAGCCGCACGCCGAGAAGGACGACGACGACATGGGCCAGCCTCCTGCTGCTGCGCCTCGCGTTTAGCATCACTTTCGGCAACATCACGAAATGGGGCCCGCAGGCCCACAAGTACCTCGACGAGACAGGTAACAAGATGGACGTTTTCATGATGTGCGAGACGCATGTGACAAAGGATCAGATCCCGAAGGTGAAGCAGGAGCTTTCGCTTGATGGATGGCGACTGCTGGCCACACCTGCGACGCCGACGCGACGGTCTCAGACGGGCTCATCGGGGGGGTGAGTTCATTGCTATTAGGTCGCATGTTGCGGCCACAGGTTTCGACGCGATGCGGGAGCTGGTGCGCCAGCAGGGCCACAGGGGCCCGTTCTCAGGCTTTTCCGCGACCACGCTTCATTTACGGGGAGGCAACTTGGTGGTCATTGTGGCCTACCTGGTTCCCAAGGATGGCTTTGGCGGCGTCAACGCGGCGAAGATCAGTGCACTGGCTTCGTTTGTACCCTCCCTCACGGGCCCCTGGGTCATCCTGGGGGATTGGAACATCCCGTTTCAGCGCATGCAGAAGGAGGACTTCGTGTCTAAGATTGGAGGCCAGCTGCTACGGCCTGATGTGGACATCACTTGCGACAAAGGCCGAGGCAGCCCCATTGATTACGGCATTTGCAGGGGTGACCTCGTGCCGCGCCTCTCCCTCGAGGCGGCGCACCGAGTGCCTTGGAAGACGCATTGTGGACTTCGGTTGCACGTGGGAGGTATGGCGCAGGCGTGGCGGTACCGTGCTGCTGCAGTCCCGCGGCCACTTCCGCTACCTGTGCGACCACACCCAGCCCCAGACCCCACTATCAAGACCTCGATGCGGAAGTTGGAGATGCAGAAAAGGAGGGCTGAGCATTTGGACGAGCACCTGCAGGAGGCCTACGTGGAGCTCACGGACCACATGGAGGTGGAGACCACGCCAGCCCCGTACCTCATCCCACTCGAGGTCTGGAACAGGAGTACCTCGGCTGTGCAGGCTGAGGCTACGATGACGATGACGATGGAGATGGAGCAGACTGTTGGCGACCTCACGTATGGCAACCCGCAGCAGTGGCAGGCCGTGGACCAGGTCACCCTGGAGTACGCGCAGTGGGTCACAGCGATGGAGCACGCCACCTTGGAGGTCAGTGACGTCACGGACGGCATGCGCGGCTCGTACCTTGGTAGGGCGTGCGGCTTGGGCTCTCGGCTCACTAAGGCGCGGCCCTCGCCTGGGCGGGCGCACATGCGCTTTGCGCCTGCTGAACACAGGGGAGTGTGCACAACTCTGGTTGGTAGGTACCTGGCGCTGCGACTACACCACGCAGATTTTCGTCAGCAACGCAAGTGCTTGAAGGACTTGGAGGCCCAGCTGAGCACCCTGAAGGCGTTGCCCCAGGATGAGGTCTTTGGCAAGAAGGTTCTTGAGATTGAGCGCCAGGAGGCTTATGAGCTTGGCGCCCGCTTGGGGTCGCTCGAGGTGCAGCAGGTGAAGGATGCGTTGACTAGTTTTGAGAAGTACCATGCATTGGCGCAGGCCCGTGGTTTTGCAGCGCAGGGGAGGAGCTTTACCTTGTGGGCCAAGGAGATGTGGGCGCGCAAGCCTGGCGCCCTTCATCGCCATGTCAAGGAGCCACCTGCGCCCACGGTTGTCCTGATTCCGAACTCGGCCGACCAGATTGCGGACCCAGACACGGCAATGGAGTACAAGGCGCGGTATTGGGAGGGCATCTGGACGGACCCTGTGGACACGCGGAGCCAGCTCACGGAGTACCTCGCCGCCTTTTCGGCTCAAGCTGCTGAGGAGGAACTGGAGCCTATTTCTCTTGCGCAGTTGGATTCTGTCCTGAATAAGCCGAGTGATGCGAAGGCGCTGGGATTTGATATGGTTGCACCAGGTAACGTCCGACGGCTGCCAGATCCAGCGCGAGAGCAGGTGTTGGGTATTCTCTCTCAGTGTGAACGTGGGCGCGTGTGGCCTAGGCAGTGCTCCGTCACACGCTGTGCTCTTGCGGCGAAACCTCGTGGAGGAGACCGCGTCCTCGGCATGACGGCGCTGCTCCCAAAGCTGTGGAGCAAATGTCGAGCTACCCTCAGTGAGACGTGGTCGCAGACGCTCTCGGACCACTGGGACACGGCCATTCGCGGATCTTCGGCGTTGCGAGCTGGGCTGGTCAGAGCGTGCTTGGATGAGTCAGGAGTGGAGCTGGGAGTCACCTCCCTCACGCTGCTATTGGACATTCAGAAGTTCTATGATTCTGTTTCCCTGCTCATGCTTCTGAGGCTTGCCAGGAAGGTTGGTTACCCTGCGGCTTTGATTTCCTTGGAGGTTCAGCAATTCTTGGCGCCCAGATACTTGCAGGAACGTGCTGTCTTGAGTCGCCCGATCTTTCCTTCCAGATCTATTGTGGCGGGATCCCCACGTGGTGTGGGATTGGCCAAGCTGTTCTTGCATCCTATCCTGGAGTTCGTTCATCGGCGGTCCCCAGCGGCGGGACTCTGGACGTTTGTGGATGACACCACGGCCAGGTGCGAAGGTAGTCGTGCGTCGGTGGGGCAGGCCATGATAGCTACCGCCATGGACCTCCAAGAGGGCCTCGAGGAACAGCGTATGGTCATTTCGGACAAGACTGTACTTATTGGCTCAAACCCTGCGGTGACCAAGCGGACGGCTCGTGCACTGCGGGCTCGCGGTTTCCTTGTTCAGGCTGTGAATGAGACAGTGGACCTTGGCTTGGATGCGACTGCTGGACGGAAGCGCACAGTGCTGAAGGCTAAGAAGCGGATCAAGAGTGCCATGCGACGTGCTGGAAAAATTCAGATTGAGGCGAATTGGTGCGCTGGCGAGAATATCTTGTGGGCTGTGGAATACTGGTGCAGTCCCTCAGTCGTTGTATGGCCATCAAGTCTTTGGCATGAGCAAGTCAGATTTGAGGCGTATGAGGCGACAAGCTGGTCAGATGGTTGGAGGACGAGCGAGAGGACGCTGCCTAACTACTACATTGGCGTGTGACCCTGCGGTACCTGACCCCGCGCTGGAGATCCCGCTGCAGGTCGTGCGTGAGTGGGTTGCGCTATGGCTGCGACATCCTGATCTCCATGATCGTGTGATTCGTGCCTGGCCGTTGATACGTAAGAGGCTGCAGAAGGCCGCGACACGTCGCTGGGCGCATGTGCGGGGGCCCATTGCCACGGTCCGGGCAACGTTGATGGATACTGGCTGGGACCCTGTTGCTGCTACGTCTTGGCTTCGCCCTACGGAGTGCGATCCCGAGCCTGTTGATCAATGGGACATTCCCTCGCGTCATGATACAGGTTTCTCTGCTCTGGCTTCCTTCGAGGCTCTGTTCGAGGACCTGGCGGCGGATATCCGTGGAATACTGTGGCGTGAGGCTGCCAAGCATGAGGCGAGACAGGACCTTGCTGAGGGCGCGGATTTGATTCCCTTCTGGCGAGAGCAACGCAGACTAGAGCGCCATGGAGGCCGAGCGCTGGCGGCTGCAAACGTCACTGTAGTCAGCGGTGGCCAGTGGACCAGACAGAGGATGCTGTCCCAGGGCTACCTCGCGGAGGCCACCTGTGTCCGCTGCGGCAAAAGCGCAGAATCTCTCTTTCATCGCATCTGGGAGTGTGAGAAAAATGCTGAGCATGAGGATTACTCTCGCACAGATTGCCTAGTGCCGCTTGCCGTGTCGTCGCACGAGGCCGAACCTTCCCTCTGGCTTCGGGGCCTCCCTCCCTCGCGCCTCACCCACCCTGTTTTTGATGAGGAGCTGGTTCGAGGAGTCGAGGAGCGATTTGGGAGCCCTGCCAGTTTCGCGGAAGGCCAGTGGGAAGGTCGTTGTTTCATTTTCGGAGACGGATCTGGCGGAAGGTACAGTGATGACCCACGACGTCGTCGATGCGGTTCCGCCATCGTTGCCCTGTCCAGGTCTCAGCAGGCTTTTGATCTTGGCGCTGCCTTGGCGAAGCCCTTGGCGGGCGAGAAACAGACTGTCCCGCGTGCTGAAGTTTTTGCTTTTGTCTTGGCGTTAGCGGAGGTCCGAGGCCCGTTTACCTTTGTGACCGACCACCTCCCCTTGTTTTGGTCCTGGAGATCCCGCGTTGGGGAGCCTAGACCGTCGGGACCAAACGAGGACCTTTGGACCGAAGCGCGAGTGTTGTGGCAGTCTCGAGCTGATAGGGAGATGATTCAGGTGATCTGGACAGCGTCTCACAGAGATGAGTCTTCTGAGTCTATATGCTCCCTGTGGGACTTGTTTCTAGTCTGTGGGAATTCGTCGGCTGACATTTGGGCTGGGGGGGCGGCGGAGTTGGCGGGAGAGACGGCTTTGCTTGGCGCGTGGCCCGACGTCGATCGTGTCGATGCCACTGCCTCGCTCATCCGTAGGCGTGCCCGTCGTGCGATGATAGACGCGACTGCGGCTGATGATGCACGCTCCTCCCGCCTGCCGTGCGTTGCCCGCCTCCCCAAGCTCCAGAGATGGCTGAGTCTGTCGGCCCACCAGTTGAAGCGTGTCGAGGTGAAGTGGGTGTGTGTGTGTGTCTCTTGTCTGATGGTGGTGGCCGACGCCAGCATACAGTCTTTTGTTGCGACCCCGTGTGCCAGTGCCTCCACCTGGGGAGTGGAGGCCTGCCCTGTGGCTCCGCTTGCAGTGCGCACAGCGGCGCTCGAGATCCATCGAAGCCATCGCTGCAGTTTCTTCCCGCGGTGGTTCCTCGCGCGTTGCACGGGCTGTGGTTTTTACGCCACGACGGACCCGCGAGCACTCAAGAGCACCTGCCGAGGACCGTCCCCGAAGGGGGCTGAGAACCTCAGACGTCTTTCGAGGGGCCTCTTTCCTAGAAGTGAAGGGCCCCCAAGGCCGATTCTGGCGGCCATGGCGCTGCGGGACCAACTGATGTTGGTCGAGTCGTTGGATGTCGTCTCGCCGGAGGAAGGAAGGTCCCGAGCGCCGCAGGTTCCTCCTCCCTCCCGATCCCCCACAAGTGGAGGCCCAGGCGGCGATGCTGTCGTGCTCAGCGGTGACCCACCAGCTGGTGGGCAAGGACTGGGGCGGCCCGCCTGGGAGGGTTTTGAGGAGGAGGAGGAGGATTGGGTTTTCTGACATTCTTTTTGTTGCGGCCCCGTGAGGGGCCGAGGACAGTGGTCCGCTCTCAGCTACTCCCAGCTACTCCTCCTCCCCCCCCCCCTCCTCCTCCTCCTCGTCCTCCTCCTCGTCCTCGTCCTCCTCCTCCTCCTCCTCCTCCTCGTCCTCCCCCCCCCCCCTCCTCCTCCTCCTCCTCCTCCTCCTCCTCCTCCTTCTCCTCCGCGTCTTCATCCTCCTCCTCCTCCTCCTCCTCCTCCTCCGTTCATCCTTCTCCTCCTCCTCCTCCTCCTCCTCATCATCCTCCTCTTCCTCCTCTTTCATCCTCCTCCTCCTCGTCCTCGTCCTCCTCCTCCTCCTCCTCGTCCTCCTCCTCTTCCTCCCACTCGTCCTCCTCCCCCTCATCCTCCTCCTCCTCCTCCTCCTCCTTCCCTCTTTCTCCTCCTCTTCCTCCTCCTCCTCTTTCTCTTCCTCCTCCCTCCTCCTCCTCCTCCTTCTCCTCCTCCTCCTCCTGCTCCTCCTGCTGCTCCTTATGCTCCTCCTCTCCTCGTCCTCCTCCTCGTCCTCCTCCTCCTCCTCCTCCCCCTCCTCCTCCTCCTCCTCTCAAGCCTTCTGCGGCCCGAGGTCCTTTTGGGAGAGGCCCGACGACCGCACGGCACTCGCGCGTACCGAGTTCGGGGGCGCACCAGGTGCGCACTACGGGCTCCCGCGGCTTGAGGGGCGCCTGCAGGCGGCGAAAGTCGAGTGTCGAGTTGTTTGATGGGACGGAGCGGCAACGAGAGGGCGAGGAGCAGGGATGGCTCGAGACCGCCTTCCACTCACGGGAAGCGCCGTCAGGCGTATCATGTTTGCCGCAATTGTCCTCGTTCTTGGGTATACTGCAACAGAGCTGGAACCCCTGGCTGGGAGTCGTGTCGGTTGTGCAACGTACCATGGCCGAAGCCTTCCAGCAGAAAAGAGGTCACTTTCGCTCTGGAGAGTGGAGAGTCGGGCAGCACCCTCCTCGGGCAGCTGCTGCCGAAGTACAGGTCGGCCAAGGAAGCCAAAGAGGAGGACACCATCAAGGCGCTGGAGATGGTGTGCCCTGAGCTGGCGGATGCACTCAAACCTGTGCCCCCCAAGGCTCCAGAGGTGCTTTTGGAACAACATGCAGCGTGTCTCCGCCGTCTCCAGCGCCAGCAGGAGAAGCTCAAGAACCAAGTTGTGGCCAACGCCAGGACAGGGAAGGAGCTCCTCGTCAAGCTGGAGGGGAACGTCAGAGCGTGCGCCGAAGCACAGGCTGAGGTCAACCGCCTCACTAGCCAGACTTCTGCAGCCAGGGGCGCTGGAGGTTCAGCCATGGGTGCAGGAGATGGAGGCAAGTCGGCTGCTACTGATGAGTCCCTCAACTTCCCCGAGCTGGACCCTGAGGACGTTGCCCTCCTCACGCCTGAGCAGCAGACCGCCTACGAGGCAGCGCTGGCCAGGGCCAAGCAGGCCCAGGAGGTGTACAAGAATGCGCAGAGCATCGGCCAGCAGGCGCAGGACGCGGCCAAGACACTACGGGAGTTGCGGGAGACAGCCACTCACAAGCGTCGACGTGCCTCTGGTGCTGCAGGTGTTGCGGCTGGGGCCCCTGCAGCTGGCGCCGAGTCGCAGGCCAAGGACGACGAGCAGCCAGCCGAGTCAAACCAGGATTTCACGGATGTCAAGAACGTGGAGGCGTACATCCAGCGCA